GTTTTTCAGTTTGGCTTGAAACTTGGAATGGAAGCGTCGTCTCTTCTAGAATTCGCAACGCCACAAATTATACTAACGTTAGTTTAACCAGTCGAATACATGTGAAACAGGATTAACCAATGAAATCAAACACAAAAGTAAAAATACCAGAATTTCTTTCTTTTTTTTATCCATATCTCATTCTCTGATGAAGCTTTAATAAAAGTGAAACATGTTAAATTAATACAAATGTCTTATTTGTTCTTTATCTCAGCATATCTATATCTATAAGTAGGTTAATGGCATATCTAAGTTTATGCATAATCTCAATTCCTGCTGAGCTATTTTTCCTTTTTGTTTATGAATGAATAGATAATATATTTAATAACTGCTAAATCGTGTTACAATAACCTTATCAAAACAAAGAACTGTTGATTCAACAATCGACTTTCTTCTCTATACTGTGTTCTTTTTTTATATAAAAAAAACTAATAGCAATTTAGTTTGGAATACTATCAACAGAGTTTAAAAACCAAATTATTTAGTTTTCACTGTAAAAAATATTCCCACGCTACACGAATTTCAAGTCATCTTGAATGCATCGTTATTTTTTTTTCCCCCAATTTAATAGAAAACAGAAATAAAAGCGAAATTCTTTCCCATGCTTTTGATATTCAATCCATTTGCCCACGTCTCTGGTTGACTACCGTAAATGATGGACATGGTTCACAGACTTCACCAGAGAACTTTTTCTCCCCTCCCCCATCACCCCCATCTCTCTCTCTCTCCTCTCTCTCACTCTCCTAATCTCTTTTTTTCTCTACCTCTCTTTCTTTCGGATTTGTCCATTTTTATTTCTGCATCGCTTAAATTAAAATATGATTAGCGTACATTCTGATAAAAGTATTGAACTCGTCGTCGTCAATGCTATCGATTGAGTTCAATAAAAGCCTGGACATTTGAGTATGAAAATTGATTGCAATTTCTTTTTGCTCAGCAGTTACTATTACTGCTGCTGTTTCTCTTGCTGCTAATATTGTTCCCGCAATTACAAATGCTACAGCACCGATTAAAAAAAAAGCTTCTACTTCTTCCAAAGTCTTTTGAATGTTTTCAAAAAACATAGAAAAAAAAATAAGGTTGTTTATTTTATATAAACATTAATGAAAACATAATTTACATTTACCGTTAAGCAAAATTTAGTTGCTTTTTCCATTAAAATCAAACATTTCTTTAAAATGATAATCATACTAAACTGACAGAAAAATAAAATTGCAATACGCTATGCATTTCAATTTAAACATCCGATTTATTTTAGAGATTCTTGATGAAATCCAAAGAAGAATCTGCAATGTTATCAACAATTGTTTTGATTAGTTTTCCTTTTTGGGAGTACGACTTCATAAATTTAAGCGTAGTACTAGATTAAGAGGTTAGATCTCAACATTTTGCTGTTGTAATTGCTAGATGTAACCGTATGTTCTATTCTAATAGTTTCTTCTCTCGCACTTCTCACTTGTGGAACTTTATCTTAGATTCTTGTCTTCCTGTCAAATACGATCTTCAAAAATATAAATGCAACTTCCATTGTCATCGTCTGTGTTTTTTAATCCTTTTCTCTTATTGTCCTTTCTCCTCAGTAACGTTTTCTTAGTTTCTTTCACGCTCAGTAACCCCTTGTATCCTACTGGCTTTATTGCCTTGCTTGGGAGTGAAATAATTAAAAAAAGATTTTACTCAAGTTTAAACGAATATGTGATCTATCATGTTTTCGTTAACAGAAATGGAAGCCGCTTACTTAACATTTGGCGAATAAATATATCAACAATTATAGATTCTTTATCAGTAAAGGGTATTAATTGAAAAACAAACAAATTAGCAATATCTAAACTGTCAGCTGTTTACGACCACTTTCTAAGATCAATGGTTAAAATTGTTCTTCTACCCTTATGGACTGGCGCTACAGGATCACAAACAAAGGACTGTACCAAATAACAGAAACCACATCACTTGTGGACTTTCAATAGCAGCAACAATTAAAATGGATATCACATCTAACTCAAAGAGAAAATAATGGAATAATCATATGTTGACCTTCCACATTACTTTAAATAAAAGGTTAGTAAGCAAACCCCTATCAATACTGGAAAGAGCCATGACGGCTACTCGGCTTGAGAAATCTGTTTTCCTGAAAAATAATTTTCAGAAAAAGATTTTATGAATTTCAAGCGACAGTAGTCCTTCTTAGTCAATGAATGCCAAATATTACCTTAGTACAAATGACTCAAAATAAAGTGCGTTCCATAACCTTATTCCAAAAAAATCGGATTGTCTGGGTTTTCTGATCTGCAAATTACACACATATAAAAAAAATCCAGTCATAACAAATCTTTTTTCTGTAAGCCCTGATATATATATCATCTATAAAACTTTTATTTTTGCTTCTTAACCTTAAAAGTCGAACCTCCTGGCAGCCGTATTGTTGACTCTATTAATAAACATTTTTTCTTCCAAAGAAATGATTCTTTGCTTCCTGTCAGCAGAAGCCATATTGGAACCTCTTTTTTCGTCCCTTGAAAATCTTCCTTCTTCCATTTCCAATCTTCCAATGTTGCATGAAGAAAAAAATATAACAATCTATATGAAATGGACAAAGTCCAACAATTCTTTTAAGACATTTTTTATGTTTATACGTTCTTTTTATAGGTACAGATATTTAAGTAAATGCTCTGTTTATAATAAACAATATTAACGACATTTACCGACTTAAATGTCCAAGAAATTTTCATAGAAAATATGCGTCCTCCGACAGGAATCGAACCTGTATCCTATAAGGAACCGTCATATAGCCTGACGTGCTTTACCGATTTAGCTACAGAGAAGCGTTTCGGTTAGCAAGGTCGATTTTACTGTTTTTAAACAACAATTCTCCATGATTTTCTTACGTACATTCATATCTGCTCGATGTGTATTGTGACGCCATTTGTTTACATTTACATTTGGATACGCATTGAGCAGATATGAATGTACGAAGAAAATCATGGAGAATTGTAAGTTTACTATACCAAAGCAGGACTTGAACGGCGAATACAAGAAGTTATGTCTTCCACACCACAAGAGTTCCTGGCAATTTTAAATAAAACCTCATGCCGAACGCTTTCCTCATATCTATTTCTTGTAAAAATTATAGTGAATAAATAAATTATAAGTATTTTTAAATAGGGAGAAAATTTTCAATCGCCCTGTAGAGTACGTTTGTCCTTTGGATACATACCCAACTGCTGAACTAATGAACGGGATTCATATTAACATTTTTTTTAAATCATTTCACCCCAAACAATGCAATAAAGCCACTAAGGCGTAAGGGAGTTACTGGGTGTTAGAGAGTATAAGTTAAAAACAGTTAAGTTGTGTACCCCAGCTAGTAAATCGTCTTCGTAGGAATGTTAAGACAGAAATTTAAGAATAAAAGACAAAATGGTTTACAATTGAAACAACTCTGAAGGGTGAAATTGCGCCTTCGACATCTGACAAGTTGACAGGAAAGAACACAATGCAGCTGAATGATTAAACAAAATATAAATGTATGCAATTTCCGAAAAAGGTTCTTGAGTTTCAAATTAAGTTTACTTTTCCTCTGATAAGCTTTTCCTTGAATTATTCTAGAAAAACGAATCAGATATACGAACATTGAAAAATAAAACCTGGAAAGTTTATATTGAGATGAAGAATACGATAAGAATTGAAACCACTCACTCAGGTATGTGCCATGCATGAGACACGCTTAGGCGATCATGTATTTTTCTGACGAGGCAGATTTTTTGCTGCAGTAGGTTGTTATTTCTTTCTGTGGTAGACCAGTTGCTATCCAAGGCTATAGAACCCGGTCTATCCTGCTATTTACCCATAGCTGGGGGAGAGAAGAAGAGGATTCACACCTTTCCCAAGAGTATTAGCACGTAAGTGAATGTAAAGCTGCTCGGCCCGGGGGCAATGATCAAAGTGTAGTACGCTGCCTTTGTGAGATTCCGAGTCGGCGTCTGTCGAACTCTCTGCATTAGCAGAGAGGAACCCGGACGAAGCTTTGCCGAAGGGCAAGGTTTCGTTCGGGGAGGTAGACAGGGCCTGAACCCGTCTAGGCGGGTTCAAAAAGGCTATATTTTTGGCCGAGCCTACGGGCTCGGGGATACCCACATTAAACCGGCCTTGTGCCACATTCTATCCTCGTGGGTGGATTAATAAATACTAAGTGAATGTAATGGATTCGACTGGAATTCGAACTCAGCTCTCCGATTCCTCAAACCGAACCGCTATCCATTACTCTACCATGCCACTCTAACTTTCTTGGAATTTTCATTGGTTGGTTGTTTTTGTTTAGCGGCATATCAATCCATAGGGGCTATTCAATGCCGAAATTTGAATATTTTATACGCATTATCTTTTTTAAAATAATAATGGTAAGTATTAATTCTAGAAAAACGATTTACTAATTATATTAATTATCCAATACCACATCCTCTCAGGACATAAGCGATTATGCCTTTCCATAGAATCCGTTTCTTTCTTATGTAGGGATCGCCATGATGTCTTGTTAAAGATACTGGATTGATATTCCATTGTCTTCTTCTCGATTTTGAATCCAAAGGATCCCTTCTCCTATATTAGCTTCAATCCAAACCTAGAGAGCCCCGTCTATTCTGCTATTTAAATCGTAATTGGGGTGATAAGTAATATTGATTAACCGATTCGTTTTCTACGGCTTATCAACATATTGCAGGTTATTTAAAGCCAGAAAATATTTTTAGATTCTAAGAATTTTTATTTTCTTGAGGCAGATAATAATGATTTAGCGATACAAATCTTACTAATTAACCCATAGCTGGGGTAAGAAGTGGTGGATTCATACGTTTCACGAGGGTCTTTGCGTGTAAGTGAATATAACAAACCCAAATGGAATTGGAACTCGACACTCTGATTTACAATTCCGAGCCACTATCCATTACACCACCCGCATATCCAAGCTTACAGCACCTGGTATTCCCAAACGGCCATCCATCTAGTTACTGACAGGAAGGACATTGCTTAACTTCGGTGATCGTACGGGAACCAATGTTTCAACGTGATGTGGCCGTAAGCCTTCTGAAATTGTATAGTAACTTACGTCTATCCTCATCTGTCTTAATGTATAGCTAGAAATCTTGGAATTAGATGAGTAAATCACTTAGAAGAAAATTTGGAATATGAGACATCTCCTGTTAGAAATTTAGTAAGAAAATAACGATAGAGTAGAAACATTGCACCAATGAGAAAGGTGGCATAGTGGAAAATAGGTCTTCCCTTACAAGGTGACGTAAAACGATTTTGAACTCTATCACTGCTGGAAAGTTAGGATCGAGCTATTCCAGCCCAGATATGGCAGCAATATTCGATTTTTTTTTTAATCTTATCAGACTCTTGTGAAGATAAGAGAATAAGAGCATAAGAGAAAAATCAAATAATTCCTGGAGTGATAGAAGAAGTCGACCATTTTTCCAGCCCAGATTTTTTTTTTCGGCCATATCTCTTCAGGTCGAGGCGATCATGATTTTCCACAAATTCTTTTTTCTTTATTATCAGTGAATTGCAATGCATTCTTGCGAAAGATAATGGATTGTTTTCCGGCTGCCATCGTTAAATTTGGACTACGCTGCTATTTAATCCATAGCTAGAGGGAGAGAAGAAACAGATTGTTTGACTATGTAATGTTTTAAATTATTATTTGCATTTGCTTGTTTGTAAAATTATCTAACTTGGTTTTCCTATTCATCTTAACACTTCCATAAAGCCGACACGAAAATAACACGCATTTACCTCACTCACAATTTCGAACTTTCTTAAAATGTCCGCCGGCATTCGTGTCTATTATTCAATTTTATATTTGCCAAATTAGCTTAGTAATTAAATCAAAGAGCTGTAGGTAGAATTGAGACAATAACTCCTAAGACAATGACAGTATATAACCCAAGTCTCAAGAAATTAGTAGAAACGCCAAGCCAAACCACATGATTTTAGAAACGTCGCATAAAAATGCCAGTACTACCAATAAAAATATGAATTTTGAGAGGACAATATTCAATGTGTCTTCTCCACAATTTGGAATTCAGAGCTTTCCTTCTTTTAGCTTGGTTGCCACGCAAACCTAGAGAGACCAGTCTACTCTACTATTTAACCTTTAGCTGAAGTTAGGGAGAAAAGATTTATTCTTTTCCAAGAGCATTTAGAAGAACGTGAACGTAAAAATTTGAATTCGCTTTACCGATTTCATTTCTGTATCGATAACCGTTACACTACCGACTCAAAGAATGATACTGCTGATATATTCTACAGAGCGGCAGTTTGCATTATTTGTAAACAAGTTCACTCGGTTCATACTCCTCTTCTGTTTTTGAACAGGACTAGAGGTTTATCACTTGTTTCATGTTTAAGGTTGGGTTTCCGATTCTTTCTAAGGTCTTCTCATTCTCTTTCACTTCAGTAGCCCCCTTGCGTCTTAGTGACATTGTCGCCTTGCTTGGGTAGGTGAATTGATTTTTAAAAAATGAAAAAAAAATCATATTAATACTAGATTTCTATTGCAAGGCTTTCTGGAATGTTCAGAACTTTTCATTGAATATTGGAACATTACAGTCCGGTCACTCTCGTCGTCCGACAATTCTAAATCTTATAAATGAAATCTTTTTTCTTTCATATTTACTATTTGACAGACCTTTACGTGTTCCTTCAAGACGGGGTTAGTGATGTGAATGACGATAAACTACATCCGGCAGCATGGCCTCTGTTGGGAAAATTTTGAGGAGGGTAGAAACATCTCTTAATTACTGTGTCCCTAAGTTCATCCTGACACGGGGTGGTAGAACCTGTTCGGATCCCAACTATGGGCAAATAATTAACCTCCCAAACTGGAGTCAAAACACTATGAAAGTATAAAAATAGATTTTTATAATGAAAATTCCAGCAATATATTTTTGAATAAAATATTACCAGCAATACATTTTAAAAAATAATATTACCAGCAATAGATTTTTTGAAAAAGAAATATTAATACATATTCTATTCATACGAAATTATCCTACAAATTTTATCGATATTAAATAACCCATTGAGATTAATATGCCATAAAACAAAAAAAAATCAAACCAAAAACAAGACGTGGGCGAACATGGTTCTCCACGATTTCCTGTCTTTGTAACTCGTAACTCTTAGAAAATTTTGCCTTTTTGCCATCTCTCCTAAAACCCGTTCTGCCAACCATTTATCTAAGCTCTTTAGGTAGGTTTTCGCTACTCTTCTGTGGGTATGAAATGTTCTGTCCTTTGGAAACCTTAATAAAGATTGTCTTTTAGCTATCTCTCCTAATTAAAGTTCTGCCAACCATTTACAAGCCTTTTTAGGCAGGTTTTGTGTTATTTTCTGTCTCTGTTCCTTTTAATTCCAGCCCTGCCTTCAAACTGTCCTTTGTATGTCCTGTAAATTGTTCTGTCCTTTGTAGCCCTTGGTAAAGATTGTCTTTTAGCAATCTCTCTTAATTCCAGCCCTGCCAATAATTTACACAAGCCTTTTAGGCAGGTTTTGTGTTATTTTTTTCTCTGTTCCTTTTGCCTTCAAACTGTCCTGTATGAAATGTTCTGTCCTTTGTAGCCCTTAAAAGATTGTCTTTTAGCAATCTCTCTTAATTCCAGCCCTGCCAATAATTTACACAAGCCTTTTAGGCAGGTTTTGTGTTATTTTTCTCTGTTCCTTTTGCCTTCAAACTGTCCTGTATGAATTGTTCTGTCCTTTGTAGCCCTTGGTAAAGATTGTCTTTTAGCAATCTCTCTTAATTCCAGCCCTGCCAATAATTTACACAAGCCTTTTAGGCAGGTTTTGTGTTATTTTTCTCTGTTCCTTTTGCCTTCAAACTGTCCTGTATGAATTGTTCTGTCCTTTTAGAATAGCCCTTGGTAAAGATTGTCTTTTAGCAATCTCTCTTAATTCCAGCCCTGCCAATAATTTACACAAGCCTTTTAGGCAGGTTTTGTGTTATTTTTCTCTGTTCCTTTTGCCTTCAAACTGTCCTGTATGAATTGTTCTGTCCTTTGTAGCCCTTGGTAAAGATTGTCTTTTAGCAATCTCTCTTAATTCCAGCCCTGCCAATAATTTACACAAGCCTTTTAGGCAGGTTTTGTGTTATTTTTCTCTGTTCCTTTTTGGTAAAGCCTTCAAATGTGTCCTGTATGAATTTTAGGCAGGTTTTGTGTTATTTTTCTGTTTTTACCTTCAAACTGTCTGTCTTGTAGCCCTTGGTAAAGATTGTCTTTTAGCAATCTCTCTTAATTCCAGCCCTGCCAATAATTTACACAAGCCTTTTAGGCAGGTTTTGTGTTATTTTCTCTGTTCCTTTTGCCTTCAAACTGTCCTGTAATGTTCTGTGAATTCTCTCTTAATTCCAACCTGTTCTGTTTTAGGCTTTGTAGCTCTGTTCTTTTGTAAACTGTCCTGTATTGTCTTTTTGTAGCAATCTCTCTTTTAATTCCAATTCAGCCCTGCCAATAATTTACACAAGCCTTTTTTAGGCAGGTTTTGTGTTATTTTTCTCTGTTCCTTTTTTCAAACTGTCCTGTATGAAATGTTCTGTCCTTCAAACTGTCCTGTTTTTATTTTGAATTGTTCTGTCCTTTCCTGTAGCCCTTCCTTTTTGGTTGGTAAAGATTGTCTTTTTACTTTTAATTCCACAATAATTTTTACATGTTTTTAGGCTTTTTGTGTTATTTTTCTCTGTTCCTTTTGCCTTCATTCCTGTATGAATTGTTCCCTTTGCCAATAATTTCTTTTACACTCTCTTAATTCCAGCCTTTTAGGCAGGTTTTGTGTTATTTTCTCTGTTCCTTTTGCCTTCAAACTGTCCTGTATGAATTGTTCTGTCCTTTGTAGCCCTTGGTAAAGATTGTCTTTTAGCAATCTCTCTTAATTCCAGCCCTGCCAATAATTTACACAAGCCTTTTAGGCAGGTTTTGTGTTATTTTTCTCTGTTCCTTTTGCCTTCAAACTGTCCTGTATGAAATGTTCTGTCTTTTGTTCAGCCCTTGGTAAAGATTGTCTTTTAGCAATCTCTTAATTCCAGCACTGCCAATAATTTACACAAGCCTTTTAGGCAGGTTTTGTGTTATTTTTCTCTGTTCCTTTTGCCTTCAAACTGTCCTGTATGAAATGTTCTGTCCTTTGTAGCCCTTGGTAAAGATTGTCTTTTAGCAATCTCTCTTAATTCCAGCCCTGCCAATAATTTACACAAGCCTTTTAGAGCAGGTTTTGTGTTATTTTTCTCTGTTCCTTTTGCCTTCAAACTGTCCTGTATGAATTGTTCTGTCCTTTAGAGCCCTTGGTAAAGATATTCTTTTTGGCCTTGGTAGCAATCTCTCTTAATTCCAGCCAATAATTTACACAAGCCTTTTAGGCAGGTTTTGTGTTATTTTTCTCTGTTCCCTTTTGCCTTCAAACTGTCCTGTACCATTTAAAGATTGTCTTTTACAAGCCTTTAGGCAATTTACACAAGTTTTGTGTTATTTTTCTCTGTTCCTTTTGCCTTCAAACTGTCCTGTATGAATTGTTCTGTCCTTTGTAGCCCTTGGTAAAGATTTTCTTTTAGCAATCTCTCTTAATTCCAGCCCTGCCAACCATTTACACAAGCCTTTTAGGCAGGTTTTGTGTTATTTTTCTCTGTTCCTTTTGCCTTCAAACTGTCCTGTATGAATTGTTCTGTCCTTTGTAGCCCTTGGTAAAGATTGTCTTTTAGCAATCTCTCTTAATTCCAGCCCTGCCAATAATTTACACAAGCCTTTTAGGCAGGTTTTGTTATTTTTTCTGTTCTTTTGTTCCTTTTTGTTCTGTCCTTTGTAGCCCTTGGTAAAGATTGTCTTTTAAATCTGTCCTGTAATTTACAATTTTAGTTTTGTTCCTTTGTCCTGCTGTCCTTTGTAAAGATAAGATTGTCTTTTAGCAATCAATTCCAACCCTGCCAATAATTTAACAATTTTAGGCAGGTTTTGTTATTTTTCTCTGTTCTTTTGCCTTCAAACTGTCCTGTATGAATTGTTCTGTCCTTTGTGGCCTTGGTAATTT